CAGGGCTTTGGCTTTCCTAACATGGGAATCAATTAGACTTCCATTGTGATTAAAATGAAGCAAAATATTTAGGGCATTACTGGATCATGATGTTTCACAGAAAATCATGTTTCCTCCTCTCCTTCCCAAAATCTACTAAGTTACTTGAATCTTCTAAATTAAGATCAAATGAAAGTATTCTCATTAGGTTGATACTGACAATTCTAGATGCACAGGAACAGAAATAAATTTATTTCTGTTTTCTGATGCATGTTATTTTTTGTTGTACCAGCTTTGACAGCTGTTTGCTTAACCTGTTTTTAAGGATATTCTTAACCATGGTCCAAGTAGAGTCTTTCAGCTATCAAATGTCTCATCATTCTGAAGCATGAGTGACATTTTTCTCACTAACTTGTAACCTCAATTTATCTCTTGCAAATTAATATTATCCAAATCCTTTAAATTCTGATTCTTATTCCAAAGTGGTTTTATTTATTCATTTCCCAATGAATCCTGATGAGAATAATTATTTCAGGAGGCTGGAGGTATGGAAAGAAACAATTGAAACATATACCTTTCTTAAGACCAATGGAAAAATCCTTTTGTTTTCAGCATTACCCTGGTTTCTTCTTCACTACAAGAACTAGCACATAATGGCCTAATAATATTTCAGTGAACTAGGCCATCTCACACTTGATGTGCTGGAGGTGGAAGCAAAACACTTAATTTCAAAATAATTAATGTGACTACATGGCAGAGCAAAGTTTCCACAGGAAATGAACTTGGAACACAATTATTAGTCCACAGAGAGTGCTTTGTTATACACTCTTACAGCACAGCAAGTGAGCAAGTGTAGTAAATGCAAGATTGGGAAACTTGGTAGAAAAAAATGTGAAAATGGTCCACAGTCTGCTTTTACTACAGAAAGTCAAGTAAACAGTAACCTAATATGGTTAATATACGATTTATTTTCCCCCATCTGCTGACTTGTTACAGAGCAAGTCGCTTTTTGATTAAAAAGTCTGGGGGAAAAACATAAATTAATGTTTTATCAGATGTTATAATTTTTTCAGAGAGAATGTATTAGGAAAAAAGTAAATTGCTCACATTTTAATTAGAGGGAGAAAATGGTAGGTTTATGCTTATATTTTAAGGAGAAATTATTTTAACCAATTACCCAACCACTGGGGAAATTAATATAGAGCCTCAGAATTACTGCCTGTAATGTCAAAGAAATCCAAACTGTCTAATCAGATAAATGTTAACTTTTAAAAAGCAAGATTTCAGTTTCATTGTTTGAAGCTATTTCTCAGGCACCTGATAAATGTGGGTTTGAATAACTAGAGAAATAACTGCATAAACCATTTCATGCTGGGGAAAAAGACTCTTGGATATTAGAATTTTGGTGTGTAATTTTCACTGTTACTTTGGAGAAACACTTCTTTTGCTTTTATTTTAATTTTTCAGGTTTTGGGCAAAGTGAGAGTTGGCATTGGATTATAGAAATTTATGACAACATAAACAGTATCTAGAACCAATAAACTGCACTTGTATGTGTAGATTTATTTTTTCACTTAATATTTTTTACTTTAGATCTGAGAAAGTGTCATGCTTTCTACTTGCTGTATTTAAAGTGGAACAAGAGGAACAGGTTTTATGAGTTAGATAGTAAGAATCATGCCCCATAGTTTCTAATTTGCATATATATGTGTGTACACATATAAACATCTATAAAAACTACATTTATATTTATATTGGGTTTATATTGACATAATATTTAGAAAACACTTCAGTAGAGTACGCTTCAGTCAGTATTTTAGATTCAGCAAAATGTTGAAGGAGGTGTCTTAACTCTGGATATAGTTATAAGTGATTAACTTACAGTATTTCCCTGTTCTGCTACACATCCTACAATAGAAGTTATGATTTATGTAATCATTTATAATAATCTGTGTGATGCCATGTGAGAGAAACCTACTTCAGCAGGAGTTGGTATAGTTTTTAAATAATATCTTGTATATGTCCATGAAGAATTCACAGCACCAAAAAACTGGTGTAAACTGAGGTGAGTCCCTGAGAGACATGACTGAAAAGAATGATGCAGTATAGGGTCGTTATAAACATTTACAGATGCATTATTTAAAGAATGTGTTCTCTGAGGAAGAAAAAAGATTGTGTGGAACAGTCTAAAAGTAGTTATCTGTTTAGATAAAACATGCAACTATGACAAGGCATATTTAGAATTAATATAAAAAATTATTTGACATGAGTGAATCAACCTTCCAATTGAAGTGACAATTGCACAGAAGTCAAATGACAATAGATCGTTGATATGATGATTGCACATCATATTAGAGATACTTGTTGATGCTGACACTTCACTTTATGCGATGAAAGCTTTTAGCATTAGTCCCATTTGTCACCATGCCTATAATTTTAAAAAAACAGATTTAAAAAAACTTTTCCCTTCAAAATGCAAGGTTTTTTAGCAGTGCAAAATAAATCTTACTCTCTTATACATTTCTAAGTTCTGCTGAAGTTCCTGATTATGTGCCATCCCATGGAATCCAAGTTCAGTAACCTTTCTTTATCAGTGTGATTTCTGAAAGACCTTCCCTTTGATGAGGTGTAAGAACCATGTAGGAACAAGCAGTGGCTTTCTGTCTCCTGTAAAGAAACTCCCTCCGTTAGACCTAGAAATTGATTAATTGCTTATTTTCACATACAAAGATTGATTGTGCTTTCTCAAAAGTAGAGGCACAGCAAGCAAAGAATGTTGATGATACAGAAAAGTTAATGTTGAAATGCATCATCATCTATTTGAAAAGCATTGCTTAGTGCTGGATATGTTGTTCTGTCATGTTTTTTTTACCCACCCTTTTAAAATGAGTGTGATGCTTAGAAACAGAATTCTTGTTTTAGATCTCATGAACTTTTGCTATTCATTCTACATTGAATTCATCATCTGCTGGCATATCATAATTATTTTCACAGTGACCAGTTATGATGTATCAGACAGAACATTCTAAATTAGGAATAAGCAGCAGCAAAGTGCTAAAAAGAAATAATGCTTATGATTTGGTGAAATTGCCCTGATGATGAGAGGAGGGAAAAGAAGAATAGATCAGGAAAACAAAAAAGCTTGACACATGCTGTACCTCTCCAAGCAGAATTATGTTTTTAAATAAATTTGATGCCCATTACAGGAAAAAATCATGCTATTTCATAAAGAGAATTTCCAAATATGGTAACATATATATGACCAAGTAACTTCTAATTTTTATAAAAACAAACTTTCACTGGGAGTAAATATTTACAAATAGCTAGATATAAATAGAAATATCTAAGTATGATGAGTGGGAATATTTTTATATGAAAATACGAATAGTGAGGATGTCAGCTATGTGTTATGAAATACAAATTCACTGAAATGAACAAGAATTTTGCTTTTATTTCAAATTCATCCTTTTGCAAGGATGGAAGCGCAGAGGTGGAAGGAATGATAGTAAGAAGACGTTTGATATATATTGGGTTTTACAAGACTCAGATAGGCCATAAGAATGTCATCTGGTATAGGGGAAAAGCAGCAGCAGTTATAGGAACCTGCATTTTTTATCACATGGAATGCTGACATGTTGCTCCAAAGGAAATTTGGCTACTTCTGCTGTAAGACAATGTGCAACACACCTCCTCCTCCTTTTCTTCTCCATAAGTGTAAGCCACATCTATAAATGCCTTCCTTTGCACGATACTGTGATGATGCAGATAGGGGATCTGCTAGTTACTGCACAGTAATGAGACACTGTGTGTCCAATTTGTATTTCTGTTTTAATGTCTCCGGGTTCTTGCTCACTTTATTTCTACATGTGTTATTGTTTCAAATAGTTTTCCAGGACAACAGTGCTAACTGCTTGAATGTCTAGAACATGTCTAAAAAAGCTGGTGTGCTGTTCACACTAAAGTGTTTGTGAGATGTGGAGATGTGTGGTGCTTACAACATGCAGTTAGGCTGACATTGGTCTATCTCCTAATGTTTCCTGTTCTTTTACCTCCCTCATATTTTCTGAGATTTTATTTTACAGTTGATAAAGAAGGACGATACTATAATTTGTCTTTCTATTGCATTGCTGACAGTTTTGATTCTTACAATTTCCGTGTGTCTGTTGAATTATAGGATGAAGTTTGTCCCAGAGAAGATGGAGATCTTGTTCAGCGGTGTGTATGGGCAACTGCTGTTAATGTAAAAGACAAGTTCATTTATGTAACTCAGCCCACACTTGACAGAGTTCTTATTGTTGATGTACAGTCTCAGAAAGTTGTACAGGTATTTATTTGTCATTTTTAAGTTAATACCTAATCTGGACACAAGAATTTAAGGTTTCCCTTCATATTTTGAAATAAAAAAATGCAATTGACTGAAGACTAAACACAATGTCTAGGAAAAAGCTCATCTACTTACAACATTTAGCAGCAGTTTAGTGACTGTTCCTGTCAGTAGGCAATTGGGAGAGGATCAACATGGATATAACGCTTATAAATATTAATCAAGTAGCTGAGGAAATTAGTTCTTTGAGAAGTTATTGGCTTGAGGTACTTTTCACTTGAAGATTCATTAAAAATAGAATTTTATCTCAACAATGTGTATATCTATTTTGACAGGAAAGGTTAAGGGGTTAGATTTGGCTACAGAAGGTGGAGGACTGTTACTCAGCTTTTAGAGAAAAAAATTACTGGAATTGCAGGAGAATCAACACCACCCTGAGCAAGATTGGAGACTTTGAATTTGAACTACTCTATTCCTCTCTACTGTGTAGTTAGTACTATCAGTTTCTCAGTCTCTGGGATGCTGCAGATACTCAGTCAAAATAATTCATTGGGTAAAAAGAGAGAAATTGATGCTGGGGTACAGGGATTAATGCATTCATATAGTTTGTGGAAGACAAAGGTACAAGGCAATGCTAAATAAATATTAGCTTTATGAAGCAGCACGGTTTCCTCAGAAGAGCCTGAGAGTCACAATATACTTCAAATGGTCAGTAGTCTTAGTGGCATGGAGGTGAAATTTGATGTTTAGTTGCCACCATTCAAATCAAATACTGTAACCACTCTACTCTTGTCTCTCATTCTCTCTTTCTTTTCCTTTACATATCCAGTGGTATCAATGATACTATTTTACTGTGAGGTTTAATAGGGGGTATTTATGAGGGAGATTTTAGTCTGTGGAATTGTTACAGACCTGTGAAAACGTATTTAGAAAATAGCCAGAAACTCATTAAATTCTAAAAATATATTTTCTGAGTATGAAGATAATATTTAAAGTCTTAAAATATTTTTGTTAACGATGCATATAGAAAAAGTAAAAAAAATCCTAATTTTTACTACTTGGTTTCTGAATAGTATTCCCACCATATTACACTATTTTTATTTATTTTAAAATCAGAAATATACAATAGAATGCATGTCATTAGGTACTCTTTAGTCTTTCAAGATAATGATATTTTACCAGAAATATTAATTTTACTTCCTTTTCAGTGGCAAAACAAGTCAATCAATTCTATCTAGGGACTGTCACTAGTCTTGTTAGGAGGTTGGGGTTGTGTGTTTGTGGCAGTTCTTTAAAGAACATTATAGATCATATAAAATACTGAAATTTAATTTAAAGCAATGTTCTTTTTCAGAAATAAAATTGTTTCCTGAGATCTGAATTTAGTTAGTAACTTGTTAACAATCCTGCTCTGATTCTCAGAAGAAAGGACGCTTGTGTATAAAACTGATAAAGACATGTTGACACCACACTGGGTGTTCTGATACGAATTTTAATCATACAAACATGCTTAACATCTACAAGGTCGTTAATAGTATCAACACATTCATAAGAAACAGATGTTCTTCTGCTAAATAAAACATGGATTTTTAAAATCATTATTATTAAAAAACTAATCTACATTTTTAATTAAAATATTTAAATATAACTTTTTTTTATGCCCTTTGCCTTTTCTGACAACAAATGAAAGAAAATCTTTAATGTATGGATTATATATCATATATTAGGCCCTGGAGAGACTGTATTATGGACTTTCAATACTTAAAGGTGTCTTATAAGAAAGATAGAGACAGATTTTTTAATAGGGAGTATTAAAGGCCCTCATTTACTTAATAGGGTCTATTAAAGGCCCTCCTATCAAAGACGATAGGACAAGGGGAGATGTTTTTAAACTAAGAGAAAATAAAATTAGATTAGATATAGGAAAAAATTTTGTATGATGAGGGTGGTGAAACATTGGAACAGGTTTTCCAGGGAGGTGGTTCATGCCACATCTCTGGAAACATTTAATGTCAGGCTGGACAGGGCTCTGAACAACTGGATCTAATTGAAGATTCCCCTGCTTACTGCTAGGGTGTTGAACTAGATGGACTTTAAAGGTCCCTTACACCCCAAACTATTCTATGGTTTTATGAAATTAGTATATAATGTATTATGTGTATTAATCGAAAATAAAAAAAAAATCCCACATAGTAAAATTGCAAATTTACATTCACCTGAAAAATATTTTTAATGCTTTTTCATTCTTTAAAAATCCGTATTTTTTGCCTTCTGTATTTTATGTCAGCTGGCTGAGTAGACATAGCTTCCTCAAAACCTGACCTATCCAAACGGTGACAGAGACTGATAGAATGTTTTATTCAAAAAGTTAATTTTTTGATCTTTTACTCTTTTGGTTTTTTTTAGTTAAATTGACCTTTGCATATCAAATTAGAGAGGAACCAAGTGGATACAAATTTTTTGTTTTCTGAAAACAAGACTTTATTTACAACCAATTCAATACATTTCTTTGGAAGAGTGACTGAAAAACCTAGGCTTACTGCAATCCACAGATAAGGACTGGAATCTCTGGCCAATGGGTTCCCTCGTCTCTGGCTGACATTCACAAGTCATCTTGCTTTCCTACAGATGATGGATGAAATACTGATTTAATTGCATTTATTAGTATTTAGACTTCAGTGGCAAGAGAATATTACGCCTTTTGAGCTCACTGAAAAATATTAGAGAAGTTCGATGCTCTTTTAAACTTAGGTTTATGGGATAGTTGGATTGGTAGACTCTCCTAATTGACATTCAGTTACATTAGTTATTATTTTACTAAGTACTTTACCATTAACTGAATATTTAGAGATACTTACAACAATGATGTATGTTAATTAAAAAGTAAAGTTCAATTAATTAAGCACTAATTGAAAGTACACTCTTCCCCTAGAAATATGTAAAGTGATTCTCCAGTTTTTGGATGGAGTTATGTAGGTTGCTGTTCTATCATATGAATATTCAAGTTTCTGCAGTGAGCTGAAAACCAGACATACAGGATGCCTAGGTGTTACACAGAGCTTTGTGCACAAAGTCTGTGCTCTTTAGCAAATATATTGAGCTAAAACTGAATAGTCCACAAGGTTTCATGTTAATCTAGGAAAAGAACTTTCACTTTCAAAGAAATTTTATTTTGAAGGATAGAATAGCATTGCTTTTCCATTACTTTAATAATATCCAGACCATGAAGTTAAAAAAACATAGAATGAAATTTATCCTCTCTGTGGAAACCTGTGGCAGGAATGACAGTCTCAGTGTTGATGGTTCTGATGGTTCTAGGATGTTTAGATATTAATGATAAATTATCTTTCCATTTCACAATACTTAGCACAAACATTAGGTAAGTCAGTATGATTACGGGATAACAGATGAACCAGATAAGTAGATTCAACCAAATATTTTACTGGTGCTTTTGGGCACCTGAGCATAATTTCTTCTCTTTGTTACTGACCTGAATGTAGTTTTCTAGGATACACTTGGACAATACATTGGAAAAGTACTGTGGGACTTCCTCTATGTCCGGTTTAACTATGGTGATATTTAAAATAGATTTATTAAGAAAAGAAAAGTAAAAGTAGTTAAAAAAAAACCCAAAAAACCAAACACACACACAAAAAAAAACCCAACACATGAAAGCACAAAACCTATACAATATTTTTACACATATTATAAGACTGTAATAAATAAAACCACTGCTGATTCACTGATGGCTTTTACGATTAAAGTAAGAATAATTTGGAATACAGTGACAAGCCAAGGGATACTTTGTTCAGCATTTCTTATAATGAGCATAGTCCTGTCTTCCTTATCTTTTAACAATAAACATTTCTTTTTGGGTTTGTTTTTTGCAAGCAGCAAGAATTTCTCTGACCATTAAACGTAGCTCTACTCATATCATATGCATCTACACAAACACTCATACAAAAAAGGAAGGGAGATTAATTTCTCAGCAAGACCAGTCTGTTTTTATTACTTACAGTACTGCCTAGCACAGAAAAAAAAAAAATCAAAATGTAAATTATTTTTTGAAAATAGGTACTAAGCTGTTCAGAAATGAGAGAATTTTTCTTACTAGAATGACTTTTCTCTAAATGTCATATTAATGCAGGGGATATTATTTACAGTTTAACTATTTCCAGTCTATATTGTGAAGAAGAAACCACCTATCTGCTCTGTAAAGCCAAGTTTTCAAAAATGTATACTCTTGTAGGAACAAATCTGGAGAAAACCTTCTATGTTGAAATTGAGCAGCACTAATAAAAATTCTGTCAAGGTCTATTTGGAAGGGCTTTAATTTGGATAACTGCTCTTTTCTGTGTAAAAGTAATGTTGATTTGGTTTTGTTTATTCTATGGTGTTTCCTCTGTAGTAATATTATATAAGTTATATTTACTCCTTTCTACTATGAAAGGTAACAAAATAGGTGTGTGTACTGGTGCACATATATAACAACTATTTTTGAGGATGATTTATTTCTGTGACAATTATATTTATCAAAATAAGTACTTAAAGAAGATTCTAGAGCAGACTAAATTGAAATGTATTGGAAACATGGATGGTATATCTATAGAGAGATATATGTAGAGGTTTTGATTTATCATTATGAAGTTAAGAGAAGTATTTGCAAATTCTTGAAAGCAGGTAGTCACCTGCAGCTGTCCTATATTGCTTAGCAGCTTTAACAGGGGTGACTCAGAGACTTGCTGAAGTGAACAGAGCTTACCATCCTCCAGTCTGTGCGGAGCTGCTAGCACACCAGCCTGTCTATCTAGAAGCAGCTGTGAACCAGCTTCTAAGACCCTCTACTCCTTTCTGCTTGTGGCTCATCTCTTGGGAGCTGCATCACCTGTGCTTGACCCTGCGGGCAGTTGTCCTCCTGGCAGCGCTAGGGCCCAGACCCTGAGAACAGCTTGCGCTCATCCGGCAGAACATGTAGGGGTCAGACCTTTTGTCGGGGGAAGCAAAAAAGAAATCTGACGTACGTGAATGAGTTAGCTATACAATGGCCTAAGTATTACTTTAGACAAGTTGTCTTCTAGCCTGCAGGAAAAATATGTTATCAAACAGAAATGACCTTTTTCGAGAGGTACCTTTCTGATTTGAAATGAGCTGGTGAGAAACCTGGCTTCATTTTCCATTTTCAAAAGGAAAAACAAACTCTGCCTAGATGAAGCTGTGGCTTGCAACACCTCAGGAGTACAGTAAACTATCATCAGCAGTCTCAGCCAGCCATTAGTGCATTACCTTGAGAATCTACATCATTAGTTTAAATTAGGTTCACTTAATTAGCCAGCTGGTCCTCTCCTTGACAAACTGATAAACAAGCTTTGCGTTACAGTTCCATAATGGTGAGACTAGAAAACAATTTCCACCTATTGTTTTTGCTCTAATGATGAAAATAGAAAAGTAATCCCTCCAGTTGTTTACCTACTGCAAAATGTCTCTTAATCAAATGCATTGTCCTCCCATTTCATGCCTCTGAAATCTTCAGTTCTTCTCATAACAAAGGAAGTGTAAAGTTCCACTGTCTAAAAGATTTGTGGTCTCAAGTGAGAGTGCTCACGGTTTTAGAGAAAATGCTGGTTCTGTTCACAAGTCTACCAAAAGTAGCAACTGTAATTGGAGACCTTACGGAAATAATCTTTCAAACTTCATCAAAATATACCCAGCTTAGGAAAGATAGGAAGCTTTGGGTATAGCAGTACTGTGCTGGTTTCATGCAGGACTGCACTGATTTCAGTATGTGCCTTGAGAACACTCTCCTTTTTAGCCATTTTCTAATAATTGGTGCAGTTTTTAAACTGGTATGTATAAAGTGAGAGTGATGGTAGTGAGGGAAGATAAGTACTTTTTTTATTTAAAACCTTTGTTTTCAGCTTCTTAATACATTCAGTATAATTTAATTTTGATGCCAAATGTTAGACCACATGAGGAATAAAAATATTTTCTTCAACAACTCAGTACCTTTAAATTGATTAGAGGGCTGTTTCAACAATTGACAACATAATTTTTAAATACAACATGAAAATATCAGGAAATACATGTCCAGTCCTCATCTTAATTCAAACATATATATTATTCTTATTTTGAAAATGTGGCTGAAATTAAAGAGTTCTGTTTTTATTATGCTTCAGGCAGTAAGTACAGATCCTGTTCCAGTGAAACTACACTATGATAAATCACATGATCAAGTCTGGGTTCTGAGCTGGGGAAACATGGAAAAGAATTCACCAACTTTGCAGGTGAGGTGATCAGAATGGTTACATGCAAGGGAATCTAGACAAGTTGAACCTTTGTGCAATTGTAACGTTTTGTATGTTTTCCTTTTAAGCATTATTATCATGATAGCAGCAGGGGCAGTGAAATTATTTCGGGTAACCAAAAAACAACTCAGACAACTGACTTCGCTAAAAAAGTTAGAGATTTTTTTCAACACCCTTACTTGGAAGTGACTGCTAAACTGATAGAAGGATAAAGAATACAGCTGAAAGCAGCAGCATGTCTTATAACTGCCAGTCTGTTGAGAGCAAACTGTTACTGTTTATGATGTTTTTTTCCCTAATTAGAGGATTTTAGGCATATTCCTGTTTCACTAAAATTATATTGATGCTCTGGAGGTGACAAATTCCATCTTATTGTTTTTTTCACATGTAAAATATTAAGAATGTTTACATTTCCCATGCCTCTGAGCAGTGGCGAGCCAAGGGACAGTCACTAAAGAAATATTTCAAGAAGCTGTACTTGCATTCCTACCTTTTCACTACTTTCTGTTCCTTATTTAAAAATAATACCCTGAGAATATGGTGATTGTCTTTATGTCATAATTTCAAAATTACTTTTGTATTTTGTCTTATTTCCTGCTTCTTTAAATTGTTAAAATCCTTATGTATTTAAAAATATATATATAAGATTAAGAATAAGAGAAATTCAAATGCAGGGATCAAGCAGAAAATTGGGTAACATCCGAAAACTCCTTCTGAGAAACCCACAAACTCTTAGTAACTATGAGTATGCAAAGTAAGTAATTCATGGGAGTTTAGCTGTCACTCCTCCCCAGAAAATGACTGATAATTGAGTCAGTAATAGAGTCAGTCTTATCATGTCTTAAAGTGACCGATCACTCACTCTTCCTTACAGTGTAGATAATCGATTTTTTTTTTTTTTAATCCACTGTTAAGTGCATGTGTGTGATTATCCTAGTGGCTATTACATGGATTTTTTTTTTTTTTTCACCCATAAACATTTACCTCACAGAAGGTCCAAGATTTGGGGATTTGAGGAAAAACAGTTCATACAAATTTAAGGAATGTGTAATCTCAAATCAGCTTCCTCTTCTGTAATATGTCTGAACTATGTTAAATTAACTCATGATCAACAAGAATTGGTAGTATGCATAGACATTGCTTCCTGTGGATCAGTTGATAACATCTTATTTTTTCAGTCGGGCTGAAGTGCTTCAGAAATTTAATCTCACTCTAAAATATATTGTAAAATAAAAAAAATAATAATAAAAAAAAAGACCTAGTTTGCACTAGGAACTGCTAGAGACTTTAGTAATATAAATTAATAAATATGGACTCAAATGTGATGAAAAAAAGGCAAAGAAGTAAATATGAAGGTTAAGTAGTCAGATATGTAGCAGCTCTCTGAAATCTGTAATGCTGGACAGCTTTATTCACTGTCATTTGTGTTCTTATTATTGGTAACTGAAGGATAGTACAAGAAGTGGATTATAGAGGCAGTACTGTGATAATTTATTTGGATAGAGATTAAATTTTGAAAGACTACTACTATAGTTTATAATTATGTTACTTTTTGTAGGTGATAACACAAGCCAGTGGGAGCGTTTCTCATCACACAATCCATACTCAGCCAGTAGGAAAGCAGTTTGACAGAGTGGATGACTTTTTCATTCCAGCTACAACCCTCATCATTACCCATATAAGGTAAGTTTTAGTGGAATTGTAATTAACTTTCAAATGAACTAACACATTGTTTCCAAAGAAAATACAATTTTTAACCCTTGAAAATTGAAAAAAAATCTGAGACCCCACCACCTACTTCAATATTGCTTTAGAACACCCTTCTTCATAAACAATCTTAATATGAGTTTTATTGCAAACAAGCTAGATACCAGAATACACACTTGTATTAGTTTTTCTTCCTTATTTCACACAATGTTCAAAAGTTCCACTGTTCTACAAGCAAAATTGAGGTGTAATATCATCTGGGATTTTCTTGACGAATTGATAACTGTAATATTTAGATAATCCCCTGATTTAGGAGCATAAATCTTAATTTGTACATAATACTAATTTCTTCTCCTGCTCAGAGCAGTTGTCATATATATTATATGCCATGTTATAGTATATGTATGTTGGATTGGACTGTTTCTCTTGATTAATGAATGAGCAAAAGAACACTTTTGGAGTTTTAAAAGGAATTATGATATAACAGAACTTAACTCTTTGTGAACTGACATTTGCTGCTGATTCAGTTCTTTATACAGGTTTGTTCATCAGGCTCTCTTTTTTTAAAACAAAACATGTAATATGAACTCTGGTAAGATGCATGAATAAAAGCAGTCTTTATTTCTTGGGTGTTAAGTCCATGATGATAAAATGGTTCCTATTTTAATTCATGCCAGGAAACACACTATATTCTTGGGACCTGAGTTGTAGTTATCTCAGTGAATATAGAATTATCTTTGTGTTTATTGAAAGAACCGACAAGTTCTGGCTGTGATAGAAATACTCTAAGTATGGAAGAATGGAAAAAAGTGACCAGCTGGATTTTAAAAGACAAATGAGAGAGAGAGAGAGTGTGAGGAAAAAAGGGAAACACATAATACAGGCATAAAGAGAAATCTTTTCAAGATCACCCCATGGCCTCTTAAATGAAAATCTATTTTCCTCCTCAAAATACATCAGTAAGAATGTGAAATAAAATTTTCTTTTCATACCTCTGTAACATTTCTACCTGTAGGGATTGAAAACCTCTGCAATCTAGGATTTGTATGTCTGAATATTGCACTAATATGTATTAGTGCTTTATATGTTTAGGATTGTTAGTTTCTTTGCAAGCTGACACAGACCTATTTCAGCTCAAAACATCTCTAAATAATTAATTCAGTTGTTCATTCTGGTCTTCCAAGCACAAGTTTCTATAGAAATGCTTTCATTAGGATGATCTTAACTGTTCTACAATTATGATACATAATTCACTTTAAGCTAAAATCTCAAATCACATGTAAATATGCATTTCCATCAAAAAAATATATATGATTTCTGATTGTAATGAGTGATAGTCTTTTAAATGTGAAAACATTTAATTTAGGATGACTTTACAAAGGATTCCAGAATTTACTCCATACTTGACTGTGATGAGGTTCTTGATGAAAGATATTGATGAAAGATATATTTTTTTTTTAATCTACAAAACTCTAACAAGTAAATTAGCAATCAGCCATATGCAATTTATAGAGGAATCTGTACATTAATGTAGCTGAATAGTAAGTTGACTCTGAGTACTATTACTGCCACATTTCTTGAATTGAGTAGATAAATGTATGTTGTGTCCCTGAAGTAATCTCTAGTCCTCACACTCAGCCTTAGAAAAGCATTAAATAATTCTGCTACATTTGGAACAGATATGCCTTGGGAGAACAAATGTTACTATGTCCTAACTATCAAGTACTAGAGGCACTACCAGAACAGAACTGACATTTGGATATATTGATTTTCTCATAGATGGGAAAAGAAAAAGATAGATGCAGATAAACGTCATGCAAGGAGGGGAATCAGGATTGAGAAAAATAAAATAGGTCTAATGAAAAGCAAGTGAGGAACTCATTTTGTCTAATTCCAGAAACTTTAATTTGATATTTTACCTAAATAGGTCAAGTAGGCATTTTCTGCTTTGCATGGTGAGTCACAGCTACCTTCCACTTAGGAGTCATTTCACCTGTCCTATATGCAACTTAGGAGAAAAGAGAATTAAAGAATGAAAGAACCCACAGAAATAAAAATGAATATGAAATTCAATTAAACAGTGCAAAAATAGAACTGGATAAGTGACTTCAGATACATAATAAACATGTACCTCAATTTAGGCCTAGTATCTTGTTGTAACTTTTGCTTTTTTGGTGTGGTTTGGTTTTTTTTTTTTTCCTTTCTGTGTTCACATGCCAGTTAAAGACCAAAAGAAAATTCCTGAAGTTTGACAAAAAGCCTGCAGTGTTTTGTTCAATGCTAAAACCAGATATAATGGTTTTAACCAACAAAATCAATTTAACAGTAATTAACTCTTTTTAGTTACTCATGAGCTTACTTAAAATGTCAAGAATTTTATTTTAGTTTTCTAAAATGTTATCTAATCCTGAGTGCCTTTTCTAAAAAAAACACTCTAATGCTTTCTAGATAAATATTGTGTTTTTCTTTTTTACTTATTCTTTCAAGATCTACGTATGTGAAATTAGTCAGACATTAAGGAATTTTCCTTACATAAAATGTCTGACCCTTGTGCTGGATTCAGCCAGGAAAGGGTTAACTCTCTTTACTGTGGCTGCTAGAAAGCTGTGTTCCTGGATGCAGGGAGCAGCACTGATAAGTTCTTAGCTGGCACTGAGGAATGCCTGTACCAGTTTCAAGGTCTTCTCTCCGCTTCTGATTCTGCAGCTGCATTCCCAGCTCTCACAGTCTCGCTCTCACTTCCTTATTTCTTTTTCCTCTGATTTGTCCCCTCCACTGGAGGAGGGGAGGGGGATTTGTGAGAGCGGCTTCATGGTATTTTGCTAGCCGGACTTAAATCACGACACCCTCAAATACTTCGATTCTTATTTTTTTTTTTCAAATAAAAATGAACTCTGTGAGCAGTGTATCAGGAAGTTTTAAATTAACCATATTCATCGAATTGGTAGTGATGTAGAAAAAATGTCTATTAAATCTAACATCACCAGTCAACAATAAAAATGCTCAGTAACAGCATGTGCTTGTTAAGGATGTTAGGCAACAAACATAAAGCTTGACCTTATTATTCTTTGTTGTATGTACGAATCAGGGGAGCATTTTATGAGTGTGAATTGAGGAAAACAGCTGCAAAAGAAATACTCCCACTGACTGAGTTAGCTGATATAGCTGACTGTCCAAGGGACCTATTTACTCTTTTTTAGAAGTCAGTTCCCTTTGACCATACAATACCAACCCATTCCAGAAAAATGAGAGCTTTCTGTAGCTAGATACATTTCTCAGCTGTAAACTAAAATTTTGAATGATGGAGCAGAAGACAGAGTGTGCATGGTTTATGAAATTAACATTCAGAACTAAACTTTCTGTTTACTTTTCTGAATAGAGGCATTTCGAAGCAAAAAAAAAAGTATAACAATTAAAAACATGAATTAAGTTTTGTAATACAGTTAACACAAACCATCCACTGCAATCTACATTTTATTACCATATTGGTACTACAATATGCCGCACGTTACCAACTACTGCATATTATGCCCAATCAATTTTTCTTTAACCACACTAAAGAACAAATTACAGAAAGTAAAGATAGGTAGACTTGTTGACATGTAGGAACAGAAATAAGGGTGAGTAGTTTAAAGCTAAAGGTGTCTCCATTTCTTTTATGATCCAGTCAAACTATTTCCTTTCACTACTGAGATGAAAGAGAAAGTTTTCTGCAGTCAAACACCATTAGGAACCAAGCAGTGTTTTAGCTATAATCTTTTTGTAACAACTAAACATTGATAAATATTTACTGAAAAGAAAATATATATTATTTTTAGTAAAAATCTACTAAGTACCTCCCTAATAATGTATAGAACACCCTACTGATGTTTTCGGATAGCAAATCCCTTTTTGTATAGAAAGTCTCAGTTGCAGATATATCAGGCTGGCACCTGGTGATAATTCTCGAATTTCCATGTGGTTTTTTGACAAGAATAGTTTGAGTGTTCCTGCACGTTCAAAATAAAATTTCTTCTTTATTCTCACAAAACTTTTAAAATGCAATCCTAGAATTTAGAGCAATTCAGTTTCCCATAGCTTTCAATGAGTTTCCTGTGCCAGCTAGTTGTGGTGCAATGGACAAAAATTCTTAGTCAATCAGCAATGAAAAAGAGGCTATGGCACAAAACAGTAATAATTATTAATTATTAAAAAAAACCCCAACACAAACCCCCAAAAAGTTAAAATTAAATAAATTTAGCCATGGTTGCTGTTGGAAGCCTGAAGATTTCAAAGGGAAAAAATTATATGTTCATCTTTCATATCTGGAAAAAATACTGTCTTGCTGTCATCATTGGGTTTGTTTTACCTCTGACACATGCACTTACTGCCAATATATGTTGAATTGTATCAAGAGAATGAATCAACGTAAGGACTGTTTTTCACATGCACAGTCATGCTCATATTTTCTGTGCACACAGCTTGAAAATAAATATGTGCTCCTCCCCCAGTTGTGTTGAATAGTTATTGGACACTGAGGTCACAAAAGTAGACAGGATGAGATCTATTAATCTGTGAGAGATGGTATAAATCCCAAGGTTGTTTTTTTCCCAGTTACTATTGAATCTTAGCTTTTGTAGATGTGCCTTTTAAAAATTGAATATATATCTTTTCAGTATTTGATCTTACACATTTACTGAGATGAAAATTTTATTCGGTGATCTATTTTTTGTGCCAAAACAGTTAAGAACAACCAGTGATCTTGTCCTTAATTGTCTGCTAATACCACTCCTTATCATAAAAATAGACATTTGCAATTAGTATGTGTGATGGCTGCAAAAAGATGACTTGTGCAGTACTCATGAAAATATATTCTTGGAAGCCTAAGGAGCAAAAGGGCTGATTATTTCAGCTCCACTTTTCTTAAATGGAAATGAACAAAATATAATTGGAATAAATTAAGGTCTGTCATTACACTGCTGTAAAATTTTCCAGAA